GGAGGTTCCCAACAGCTGTCTAAAAGTTTTTTCTCTTCACACTGCGGTGCTATGAGGCAGTTGGCTGCTGTCTTTCTCCTGAGAGGTGGGTGTGCTACAGTGATGTAGTGATTCCCCCATGAAAATAGTCTTATAAGGTGATATGAGATGCATTAGACTGGTGTTCCATGGAGTAAATAGATATTTTTAAAGGAATAGGGAAAATGAGATTATTAAAATACTGTAATATATCCATCTTTTGTGTATTTAAAAAAGGGTGTATTTAATCTGGACAACTAGAAGAAAAGAATTATTTATCTTTAAGAGCTCCCTAGCTTCCAGTTTCTTTATGTAGCATTTTTAAGAAAAAAAATTCTAGCTTATTGAATAAACTAAACTGAAATTTCAGAAACATCATGGTCTATTCTGGAATCTAAAAAAAAAATTATAAACAGTTAAAAACATAAGAATATATGTTTTTTCCACATCACATTCACAATTATTTCAAGATGTATTGAAATATACATATGAAATAACATGGAAGACCCTTTTCTTTGGTTGCCCATATTTTCTTAAAATATTGGTAATGTTAAAAGCTTTGGTTTCTTAATAATTCAGTAAAGAAGAAGTTGGTAGTGTGTTGATTCAAGAAAAGGCATTTAAGTCATGGAGCATTTAATCTTATTCATTCATCATTCAATAAATGTTTATTGAGCACCTAATATGTGTCTAGCATGTTCAGTGAACAAAACAAAGACTTCTGTCTTTGTGCAGTTACAAAGCAGTACTATGCACCCCATTGGGAATTATATAGACAGAATAATCACCAATAAAAAAATACAGCAGAAAAGGAAAAATAACCTCTGAGCACATTCAATAAAAAATAAAAATATAGAACTTCAGCGAGGGAGGGGTGTTACATGACTTCATTCTGATCTATCATATTTTAAAAACCAACTTTCAAAGTTGGAGGTGGAATATATTCAGCTTAAATTAGAAACATGTGAATAATATTTTTGTTTGGCAGCCTTATTTTTCATGGATTAGCTGTAAACAATCACATGAAATAATCTCTACATTACAGACAGTTGTGCATATAAAAATACTTTTATATGTATGGCATGTATTCATGTGTGTGTTTCACATTATGCAATAAATACATTCCTGCAGGTTAATGTGTCAAAATCTGACAAATACAAATATTTAAATATTTAAAAAGCAAAACTCATTATTTAAAGAAACACTAATATGAATCACTTGGTAAAATATTCCAAACTTTAAAAAGTTCCTTTTGCAAATTAATTAAGTAATTGAAATTTTGTACCTTTGGCTTTTGGGTGCAGGCTGGTTTTAAAGTATGAAAAAGATACATGATTATCTGAACATATAGGGAATTACAAATAAAAAACAAACATTGCCTGCAGGTTTGAAGCTAAATCACACCAAATCAACCGACTTAGTTGAAGAGCTAATGAGTGCCATTTTTAGTTTAACTTATAAATTTTTCATTTAAAAAATTTGTTTATTATCTCATGTTAAAAGTCTCTTAAGAACTAATGTAAGGATACCATAGACTGAATGTATACTAAATATATGTGGTTTAGCTACTATAAAATAAAAAGATCTCTGAAATGTATTCTTTTACTTTTTGTCTATGTCCTAAAAATGAATCTGTAAGTTAAATAACAAAATCGCAAAATTTGGAATAGAACTTATCCTTGAAAATCTCCAAAATAAACTAAATAAAATTACACAGCAAAAGGGAAAGAAATAGAAATGGGGGTAAGTTCTAAACTTATGAAAATGTGGTTATTGCTTGCCATTCTTTATGTTTCCCATACTGTATCTTTTCACAAATACAATAAGTAATTTTTTGTTAAATATAAATAATCTGATAATTAAGGATTTTCATCAACCTAGGTGAATTGGAGGACTTTTTTAAGGTATAGAAAGTCATAGCCTAGGGGTCATTTAAACTTAAAGATCTATAAGAAAAATTTTAAAAGTGCCAATTAAGTACTTGTTAATATTTTGTATAGGGATACTTTTTTGTACGAGATCAATCACACTTCTCCAAAGAGGTAACATGCACTCATCTGAAATTTGTATGGAAAGCTCTCTGCCTTTTTAAAGGATTGTTTTAAGAGAAAACAAAAACCATCCTCAGGTAACATTACTGAAAAAGTAAACCTGTAAGTTGAAAGACCCTGGTGACTTCACAATAATGAAAAATTTAATGATGTGAGAAAAAAAATCTAACTTGTGAGAAAAAAGAAAATTGCTAGTAAGGGTTTATGACAGTTTAACATATTGTATTATTTTATTTTCCAATTTAATGGTTTCATTAGGACGAGTAAGTACCTATTTTTCCCCCAATCTCCCCTTTTAAAAATTTCATTTTTAAGATGATAATGATGATGATGATGATGATTCGACTTGACAAACTAAGTAGTCTTGAAGCTACCGAAACCTGATCTCTCATGTGTGGCAGATAAAAAAACTAAATGCTGATCCCCGTCTCCTTAGATTGATTTAATAAAATGTTATCAATCAATAGTTTATTGCGCTATGAATGTTATGTCATATGTATCTCTCACCCCAAGGATATGGTAACCAAATATTTTGTAGACTTGCACTGTTTTCAGGTAATTCATACCTTGCCACGACATGTATCAAGGAGCTCCTCCCTTTTCATTTAATGTTTTATTTTCCTAGATTTTGCAATTCAAGATTCACCTCATGCTTTAGTTGGTCACTATACGCAGGTTTTATTTGCTGCAAATAAAGGAGTTAAGACATAACATAAGAGAAAAAGCCCTACAGGAAAATATATTCTATGTTTGTGGAACACATGCCTTTAAAAGGAGTGGAAAGTGGGATTAAGGAATAAACTGAGTCCTTTAGCATTAGCTCAAGGATGTTCTTTAGCTGCTGTTACAAATAAAAAAGAATGAAGACTCAGATCTAGTGATATATTCTATCTGATGTAAAGCCAGATTGAGTAAAAAACATTGCCATTTAAGAAAGTTATAACTAGAACAATGATTATTGTTTTCCCAGAAGTATGACTGGAAAAAGAGAAGATCCTGTAAGATTTGTAGAATTTTTAAAAATATAATTTAAATATAAACCTTGTTGTTGTAAATATAGCCTGAAAATGTAAAACTGTTTTGATTTTCTGCAACTTATTTTTCATTGATTTTGAAGCTTAATGTTTCTAATATAAATTTTATTGGCACTATTTACAGGAAAAAGAAAAATGTGGTATGATATACATATTTTCGTGTTCCCCTTATTTATTACATCCCAAACTGGTTGACTTACTGTAATTCTAAATTTTAAAATATGATTTAAAAGTAGCACTATATCAAGAGAATCATTCCTGATTCAAATATCCTTATATTAATTTAAAGTAAGGATAAATGTGTAGTTCCAGAATCCAAATTACAGGCTTCCAATTTGGGGGACAGAAAAAAATAATACAAGTAATAAGATAATAAAATACCAAAATATTTTTGATTCTTTGTAGAAAAATAAGTAAACTGCTTTGACACAATTTTCTACACAAAGGAGTTATAGTAGTGTACACAAAATTTTCTATTTGAAGATTATTAATACAAAGATTTGCAAGGATAGCAAAAAGTGAGCTGTGCATACAGAAACTTGTATAGAAATGGATGTACAACTTGATAATATTTGAGATTCAAATTAACTGCATCATAATATCAAATACCAAGACTTAACATTACAATTCATTAATCCATTATAATTCATTAGTCAAATGTCCCAAGGAGAGAGAAGAATGTACAATGAGCATTTTCTGGAAATGAATTGCTAAAAATTAGTGGAGTATGAACAGACTTCAGACTTGGAAGCTCCAGCTGGGTTTAAAAGGATGGGGGACGGGATATTACTCACTATTAAATATTTGAAGAGGCACTTTTAAAATTAAAATCCACGAACAGCTCATCAGTTCCCACTGCATCAGGCCGACTGTGATTTCGTCTTAAGCATTTTTTTCCTTTGTAAAGATGAGATTTGGAAACATGCACATGGGACATTTTGCATTGATTTAAGCCAGTTGGGAAAAAACATGGTTCAGAGCAGGATTTTAAACTGTTGTACTAAATATAATAACATTTGCAGTGGTGGCACCATTCCATAACTTTAAGATTTTTATTTTACTTATCATTGGAAGCCATTATCTGATATTTGACCTATATATTAGTATTTTCGTTATTATTTAAGTCCATTCCCCCCCCTTTTTTTTTTTTTACTCTGTACAAACATATTATCAGTCTTGTTCACTGAGAGATTATTTACTCTGGAAATATCTGGAATTCTTTCACCCTATCTTGTCCTCTGGGACTCCCTCCCCTTTTCTGAAGTATTGATATTAACGTGTGGGGGAGGGGCACACATCCAACAAAAACGTAGGATAGAAAGAGAACCCTCTTAATGGTATTCTATGGGAGAAGTAGAAAAACAAAGATAAAAAAAATGATAACTGTTTTCTCTAAGGCTATTATCTAATGCGAAAGCAAATAGTGAGTCTGTAAATCAGCTAACAGAAGGGGATTAGAGAGGAGATCTGAGAGTGGCTTGATTTCTAGCAGAGCTGTCTCTCCAGCCAGTGACACAGGCAGAGCAGCCAGGAGCACTCCAGATGGCCGGGGAAAGTGGTCGTCTTGGGTTACTGCAGGGCACCGGGGCCGCCGGAGAGCAGGCGGCCTGGTAAGGCATCTTTAGGGAGCCAGCCCGACGTCCAGCCTGCACCGAAGAAGGCGAGGTCCGGAGGGAGGCCGCCCGCGCACCCGCCCGCGCGCCCTAGCGAGCCAGGACTGCCCATTGTTAACATATACTTGACCTCTGTGACCCTCGCACGACACAGATGTCTCCTTCTTCCACCTCCCCACTCGCTGGCGCGCACCCTCCCCCAGGCACCTGGTAGGGGCCGCGCCGCCGCCTCCCCCGCAAGCGGTCGCAGCGCCCAGGGCGCGGGCGCGCGCCGAAGCCGGCCTGGTGTGGGCGCTCTCCGCGCACTGCGCGCGGTGCTCCAGCTCCCGGCGGACGCCCGGACGCCCGGACGCCCTGCAGATAAATGCGTCGCCTTCCTCAAGAGTGAGCAAGGGCGGGCGAGGCAGACGCAGACGCCGCCAGTGACAGTGGCAGTCCTCGCGCCCCACATTACATTTGTCTGCCACAGCAGCAACAACAGAAAAGCGGAGGGAGGGAGTGACGGAGGGAGGGAGGCGGGAGCAGGGTAGCGGAGCTCTGCGAGTCTTGGGGTCTGCGTGGAGGCTGCGTTTGGCTGACGTCCCAGACCCCGGGCTTTTTGCCCCGCAGCTCTCCGTGAGCAGTACCTGGCGGCTGCAGGCGCTCGGCGGCGGCACTCCGCGGCCTCGTGGTGAGCGCGCGTGGGCGAGTGGCCGCTGGTACTCTGGCCTCCCGAGGGAAGCGGCGCCGCGCCCTCGCCCCCTCGCCCCGCGGGCCGGCCGAGACGACGGGAAGTTTTATTTGCAGCTCGGAGCCGGTGGCGGATGGTGGGACTCTCCGACCCTGTGCAGTGTAAGTGCCCGCGGGAGGGCTGGAGTGGCGGGCGGGCGGCGGCGACGGGCCCATGGCCATTACTGTTATTCTGATGGCCGTCATCTTCATTTGGATTATTAGGCTAAGAGCCTTCAGGCTGTACTTATCAACTAGGGTAAGAGGACGGAGCAGGTAAAGAGGAACATCGAGGATGCCTTCAGTCTTCAATGACACTGAACTTCACGGGTCACAGTCAAAGATGCAGCTTTCACTCTTAGATTTCCCCCACTGGCATTAAACAGTATTTTTTCTTTCCTCTCCATGGTCACGATTTGTAAGCAGGAAGATCATTCGTGGGCTGACCCCCGCCCCCATCCCGACAAAACCTCTGGTCCCAGTGCCCACGGTGCGTTTTGTCAGGTGGCCCTAAACCCGCATCGTGGGTTTTGTTTTTTTGTTTTTAAATCTGGAAGGGAAAGGCTCGTTTATATGGTGGAAAACTTAGCTCTAGAAGCAGGGGAGTGGAATCTTAACTTTGGGACCCGGCTGCTACTAGGGTCGGGGTCTTCTTAGCGGCATTCAGGCGCTCTGCACCAGTCTGAGAACTTCCCTGTTACTTTTAGGCGTTTGGGGCGCTGCAGTGGTAAGCCCCTCGGTGGGCGGCCAGGACCTGAGCACCTCTCGGCCAGGACCGGTCCGGGGCTTCAGGGCAGGCGTTTGGTGGGCAGCGTCGCTCCTGCCCTGACCTCTGCGCACTCGGGACTCCGCCGCCCTGGCCCTTATGGGTGTTCCCCTCTCCAGCCCCGACGCGGTGCCCGCCTGCCCTGAGCCGGGAGCAGAGCCTAGGGTTCCGCAGCTCCCTCCCGGAAGAGCCCAGAGGGGGAGCTGCGTCCGGGGGATTTTTTGCAATTTCCAGAAACCCGTCTGGTAAAGCCTGCGAACCCGTGGAGAAGTGCGCCGGGCCCTGCTGCCCAGCGCTCTATTGGCAAACCTGAAAAGACCTGGGTGGTTGGCGTACCCAGACCTATCTCCCGGGGCGGATTTAGCGCTGGACTAGACGCCTTAGGCAAATACGGTTATCTCGGCACCAGGCGCTTAAATCTATATATATATTTCTTTCTTTCTTTTTTTTTTTTTTTTTGTACGGGCGGTCAACGCTTGGAAAAGTTTGAGTACTATGATTATGGGAAATAGGATGTGAACCAAGACTTACTAAAATTAGCTCTCCCCCAACCCCTTGCGTCTCTTTAGTTTGGAGGATTTGTCTGGGGAGCCTTGCAGCCCTTGGTCTCCTTTTTCCTTGCAGAGCATAATGGAGAAATCCGTTGAGCATAGCTTTTCTTCAAGATTGGGTCACCTCCAATCCCAGCCGTGCTCCAGCCTGGCTGTTGCTTCTTGAGGGAATCTGCAAAATGTCACTTTAAGGAATAGCTAATTTTCCCCGTGGAGGAGGTGTTGTAGACCAGTCACCAAGGCTAGGGTGAGGTTGTGAAGACTAGGAGAGCTGGAGAGACCACCGCAGACCAACTTCATATACTTAATGCAACTCTGAGCCCCCTCGAATTTGTAACTTCCCTTCCCTTAATTAATCTGCCCAGGGCCTGTGTATAAATGGCTGTCCACAGCTGCAGCAAATTGATTTATCCCCTGATAAAGGTCGGGTTGCTGACCGAAGCATTTTCTTTCTACCTTATGTGTGAACTGAAATCTGTTGTACAGGATTTTTTCCCCCTCCTAGTCTCCTTTTAAACATCTGTACCATTTTTTAAGTGTGCTCAGTGGCTTTTATTATTATACCTCCCCCGCCTTTACATAGAATGGAGTGGAACTGGGTCGGTGCCCAGCGAGTCCACACTCACTAGAATACAAATTGACCGGCTTCTCTGTGATAAATGGTATGTTAGTGTTGGGGGCCTCCTTTTAGTTTATTGCAGCGTTTTGCCTTGGCCATGTGAGTATTCTGTCCTGCCCAGTTTCTCCTGTCACACAGTTCCTTAGCAAAGGTTGACAGACACCATTGTTTCTTAAAGCAGCATAGCCCCAACCTGGGTGTTTATGTCAGCTGTGATGTGTATAAGCAGACGCAAACTCGTAATTGTATGGATGTCCCTACTTTGTTTGGCTTTAAAATGTAGTCTAGTTTTAACATCCTGGGGGCTTTCAGATAACATAGGTGGGGCTCTCTGATTTCTTTTTCTTTTTACTTTCCTTTCTTTTACAGAATGTTGTTTTTTAAGGGAGGTCTGACCGTCTTATCCAGTGTTAATCATGGAATCTCAGTTTGATCCAGGCTTTTGGTTTTTTTTTTTTTGCACCCAGGATGGATGCTGAAGTTGAAGTCTGTTGTTACTTTATATGTAAAAAGTATATTTTATACTTTATATAAAGTATAAAGTTACTTTATACTTTATATTTAGCATTTGTCATTTCCTTGATTTATTCTTTCAAAAGACAAGATTCCAACCAAATAACCAAGGAATCAGGCTTATTCTGGGTGCATGGAAACTGACTTTAAGATTATGCTAAGAGAAGAACTTTATATTAGAAATCTTTGTTTAAGCACTAATTTTATAGTAAACCAGTTAGACAGCAGCCACTTTGTTTGAAAAGCCAAACACTGAGTGGGAGCATTTGAATATGTAGTTTCTCCAGTGTCTGGGTTCCTACCTAACGATCATCTGTTACTCACTGATACCTGCTAATCATTTGATTTTAAGATAATCTTTAAGGACTTTTTTGTTAAGAAGCATTCTACTCTGCAACACAATGCAAACTGCACTATTAATTGCAAGTTGCTGGAAATGGGAGAGTATGGGTTGCAGCTACAGGACAGCACCTTTGATCATTTTTACAGTTTTTGCTTTCTAAAGAAAAGTAAAATATTGCTCTTGATGCTGGTATTCTATGATGAGCTCTTTCATTGCGTCTTTGAGTCTAAATATTTGCAGATAAAAGAGCACTTCAAAATTTGTAAAGAAGTACGCAAATGTAAAGTACCATTATCATTTATTTTATTGTGAGGTAGAAGCTTAGCAAAATAAAAAAAAAACTTTAAAAAATACATTGAAAAGGGATCACGAGAAAGCAATGCTTCCAATAGGAATGCTGGTCAGTGGCTGTCAGTTTAGGACATTCTTCACTGTCAAATCCTGTTTCTCACTTCTTTGATATGAACATCAGCTGACAGGCACTGAATGCAAAGCCTTCTTCACTGAGGTTTTATGCAGGCAACATAGCCCTTCATAGTGAAGCAGTTTGAAAAATTGGCACCTGCAGGATTTGCATGTGAAAAAAAAACCACCCCGATTCAGTTGCATTTTACTAGAGTCTATTACTGTAAGTTATGTAAGTTCAATGGGAAAAGATATTTTATTTGTTGCTGTTTGGGCAAGTGAAAGTGCTTTGTTTTATATACACCTTATGAATCATGTAGCATTCCATAGACTTTATTGATAGCAGAAGAAGGAAGAAGTGATCTTTGGCTTTATAGAAGTTATTTATTATGGAGTAGAGCTATTTTTAACCATGGACTCACAGAGTGCACTTACACTCATAGTTAATTTTTTACATGTGCCTTAAAAGGGTGAACTCATACAACTTTCAGAATAATGTATATGACGTTCAATACATAAAATTAGGTTAACATAAATATGTTTTGAGAACAATCTAGGATTTTAAGTTCCATAGTCTAATAGCAAGTTAAAATCTTCTAAGAAAAAAATTAAATCTTTCAGGCTTCTACTGCTCAGGAAAATGGTAAGTGTCTCTCACTGTGCTTGTTAAAGTGTTTGTCACTAAAATGCCCTTTAAAGATACTATAGTTGACCCTACTTGTGCAAAAGAAGTGTCAAATGTTAAATCAACTAAGACACCTTTGTGAACTATTACTGGGAACATTTTATCCAGCATAAATTATTACCTAAAGAGATACCTCCCAACTTCACTGTTTTACAGCCATTAATACAAGAGTTCCTAAATAATGTTTAAAGAACAGTGAACATTTTATTAAAGCAAACATTAGTCCAGTTTAATGGAGGTAATTGTAAGTGATAAGACAGAGCAGGTTATCTCTGTGTTGTTTAAACAGAAGGCGCTACTTTGCACCATTTCCAGGAGCCATCTGTGGAAGAGAAGGGTTTGCACCTGTCTGTCCACACTAATTATAGATTAGGGCCAAAGAAATGAAATTTGAGGAGGTTTTCAGCTAATGAAATCCATACTGATTTTATTGTAAATGTGTTTTATGTAAAGAGGGTGGTGGTTGAGTTATGAGTGAATAAATTGCTCCATAGCTGCTAGGCACTTGTTTTTGAATCACAATTCTGCTGCATTAACCTTTGGTATTAAAAAAAAAAAAAAAAGACAAACAACTTAGAGACGGATGCTAGCCTTTGTTTGGCATCTATAGCTACCATGTAGTGGGGAGTGGGGAGCAGTGAGGTTCAGGGTGCAATTTAGAAATGTGCTGTAAAGCTGCTTAAATGTTAAGAATATTCTAATATTTTGAAATGCACATGAAGTAGAAGGTAGGTTTTAACTTAGGTATGTAAAACATCAGAAAATTAGAAAGCCTTCCCCCCCCCCCCGCATCTCAGTTTCAACATAAATGAGAAATTAAAGTAAAATAAGTGAGGAATTTGTGCCTCAATAAAAGGTCACATGGATGTCTACCACATCTGTTTATAGTAATTATGAACATAATTAACATAAGAATTACAAATGAAATAATGACAAGCTGAGCAATGAGATATTGTGCAGTAATGGTCATATGTTGGAATTCTCACATTATAGCACACTAGAATTCACATACTCAAAGGAAGAAAGAAGAAACTAGATATTTATCTGCATTAATGCTTCAAAACTTATCTGCCTAGGGCAGATGGACTTCTTGCTTTTATAGGAAAGTAACCTATTATTAAGAAGAGAACTAGTTGCAATTAAGATTTCTAGTTGCCAGCTTGGACTTTGAGACAGCTGTGATTATAGAAACCACTTTCTGTGGTACACTTATTCTGTGATGGTAGTTCTTGATTATTATA